GAGAGAGGGAGAGAGAGGGAGAGAGAAGGAGAGAGAGGGAGAGAGAGGGAGAGAGAGAGAGGGAGGGGGGAGAGAGGGAGAGAGAGGGAGAGAGAGGGAGAGAGAAGGAGAGAGAGGGAGAGAGAGGGAGAGAGAGAGAGGGAGGGGGGAGAGAGGGAGAGAGGGGGAGAGAGAGGGAGAGAGGGAGAGAGGGAGAGAGGGAGAGAGAGAGAGAGAGAGAGAGAGTAAAAGGTAATCATAGGTGACACTTGGCAACATAATTCGTGTCTCTGATAATTAGTTAATAAACATCAGTTAATGAAGAAACGCGACTATCGATGAAATAAGAACATTGGAACTAATTCTAATATAATCAGCGTGACTTTCATTACCGTTTAGCTGGTTGAGATCCGAGCGCTCTGTGCGAATGCTTTCCCTGTGAATTAGCGGCTCGCCGCCAGAGAAGTCGGCCACTGTTGCGGCGTATAGCTGTCCCTCTGAAACATGCATAAACGTTTTCGTCAGTTCTAGTCGCATCTCCGACAATTCTATCATTAATCTTCGTCGGCAAATATCGTGTTATTTTTACCTATCTGTCTTGTTTATTTAAGATCCTACATATTATCTACCGACGATGATTTCATTAGTTTTAAGAATCTACAAATTAACTTATTTTAGCCTTAAACATTTACTTCGCTTTTGTGTACATAAGAAATTGTAGTAATTTTAACCTTAACTTGTAGCTTGTTTGCGATTATTAAAGGTAATGAGCGTTTTGAAACAAAGTATATATTATGGGAACATTAGAATTCCCATAACCCAACATGCTCAGGAATTCAGCAATGTTGGAACACTAAATATGCCGAATTATTGAACTACTACGAATTTTAACCTTAACTTGTAGCTTGTTTGCGATTATTAAAGGCAATGAGCGTTTTGAAACAAAGTATATATTTATTATAGGAACATTAGAATTCCAATAACTCAACATGCTCAGGAATTCAGCAATGTCGGAACACTAAATATGCCGAATTATTGAACTACATTTGTAACGATGCAAAAAGGAGGGAGGGTGTAATTTTGCTGTTGGTTTAACTAATAGGTTTAACTTGGCATAAAGTGCAATTTCCACGAATTGAACAATTGTATAATATAAAAAAGATATATAATAATAATAATCCTTTTTACATTATACAACATAATTAAAATTACATAACTTGTTAAATGCACACGCCTGTTGTACATATATATCGGATAAATTAAAACTCTGCACCTCATGAAGGTCAAAGGTTTCCTCATGGAGGAAACTTTGGAATCTTTGTGCATATTCTAGATTTATAAAACCTTAACCCTTTGCACTCGAATGGCGACTCTGAGGCGCTACTAAAAATTGGTGTACTATTTTTCAAAATCATTCTAAGAGCGTCGGACTCGTTTCTACTTGAAAAGAAACTATTCAAATTGCATTGTACTTGTCAACAGGCTCAATTTCATGCGCATAAGTCGCAATAAATTATATAAAATAGAACTACTGTAGATCAGAAATCATGTTTTGGATTTCGAATTCGACTAGCTTCGACCGCAAAGGGTTAAAACATTTTGCATTAAATGCAATTCATCTTTCGTTAGTTGACAATCATATTCGATTTGACGAAAATAAGTACTTTGGAATTTAATGGACAGGATTTAGTTTTAGTTAGTTAATTTTCATTTTCTGTATAATGTATGTTCAATGTACGAAATGAAAAACTACGTTGAATAATGTATACAGTGAAACTCCGTTTATTTTAGCTGCATTTGTATGCACAACATTTAAGCACTGCCTGGTTAACTGATCTCCTGTTTCATAAACGAACAATCATAGCCAGTGTAAATTGCTTCAAGAAAATGCTTTAAAAGAAAGTAAAAAGAAACTGTTATGCTTAGAGTCCATCTAGCTTCGCACCAGGCTCCAAAAGTCGGGCAAAAACGGACTCCATCGACTGCTTGGATAAGTTAGAGTCCCGACATAAAACGTTTTTCTTAGTAAGTTATCGGTCCGTCATCGATTCGATTTGGTCGAAGAGCTCTCGCGGCTCCTTTATCCAGTCATACTCTTTAATATGAAATGTTGTTCCGGAACGAGTGCATCGAAATTAAGTTGGCGAATCATTCTAACCCACCAATTGGATGCTGCAGGAATATCATTCGTGGATCATCGAACGAGTGGGCCGCGCTACAGAGCGTTAGAATAAGTAATCTCTGTATATGTATATGTGAGAAAGATGCGTGACCCGAACACAAGCTTGAGGAAAAATAGATTTTCGAAGTAGTAAATAGATTATACATATTTATTTTAGATTATACGAATTTAGCAAATAAACTTTTTTTTCAATAATAGCTACGTATGAAAATAGTATTTCAGTTACACAAAGTATCCCAAAATTATGGTACTTCCGGGAAATGAGGAGTTGCCTGAGATCATTTGCGGTAACTTTTTCCTTAACGAAATTGCAATCTGCAGCTTTGTTTATGAGTTATTAACGAAAAACAGTGACCAATGAGAGGCAAGCTTAGCTAGCACAAAGCGGCCGAGCTTGGAGATGGAAAGTTTTCAACGGTGGAAGCCCAGTTCCGCTGATTGGCTCGGCCGGTTAGCGTTAGGCGAGCTCGCCTCTCATTGGTCAGTGTTTTTCGTTAATAACTCGCAAATAAAACCGCGGATTGCATTTTTGCTAAGGAAGAAGTTACTTCAAATAATCTCAGGAATCTCTTATTTCTCGGAAATACTATAATCTTGAGACACCCTGTGTATTTTGACGGTGGCTCGTTGAAATGCTATTCTGAAACAAGTATTTCATTAAAATATAAGAAAGTTTATATTTCCGTAAAAACACTTATAGTGTATATTCATAGAGCTATAGTCATTAAGTCAATAGTTAATAGTCAATAGTCAATAAAGAGTATCTTGTTAGTATTAACACTATGCCGTCCGGTGGCACCACGTTGGTGCCATGCAAAGCTATCTATTGTATGCCGGTGGTACCACCTTGGTGCCATTTTAAAAAACTGAAATAACATTTGAAGTATATTTCCTGGCTGTTAAAAGGCGGCAAACTAACTATAGCATTGTGCGTATTTAACCCGAGAAAGATAACCTACGTCGCAGAGGCACCTGCGAAATAAACAACTGACTGCACCGTGGATGACGCAAAGACTGGAAGCACCCACTTTGCCAAGGCATGTGCGAAGCAACATTGAAAATATTCTTCCAAAATCTGCTGCACAGGCTTCCACAGATGATGAAGAAGAACCCTCAGCCAAAAAAAGGCGTTATTGCAGTCTTTGCACGTCTAAAAAGAAAAGAATGTCAAAGATGACCTGTGCCAAATGCAAAAAGACAGTTTGTGGTGAACACAAGAAAGACGTTTGTCATGACTGTCTCTAAAGAAATTTTTTATAATATTATAGTTTTTTTTACACTGATTATATTATAGTCTACTAGTTTGTAAGGATAAAACACTATTTTTTGTGATATTTTACGGGATTTGTTCCCATAAACCGAAGACTGTTGATTTTTGTTAATTTTTCATAGAGGTCTAGTGATTTAAGTTTAAAATTACTTAAAATATAAAAAAATATAATATAAATGCATTTTATTTTTACAATAATGCCAAACCTTTAAAATGACTAGATTAACTTAAATAAATATCCATTGTTAGTATAAAATTGACGCCTTAGAAAAGCATGCGCCTCTGAAGCGTATGGTTATCTTTTAC